AAGGCAGACGCTTAACCATCTGAGCCACCCAGGCGCCCAATAAATAAAATCTTAAAAAAAAAATTTCAGGCGTTGTGAACCAAGATGGGAGAGATTGACATCTCTCCCTAAACTGGAACTTTGTCCTTCCTTCAATTAAGAATATGGGCAACACATCAAAGTATCAAAGTAACAGTAGTTCCTGTGGCCTGGTCCCCAACATAAATCACAGATGCTTGCATGTCACACGAATTGTTGCCAGTACTCATGTGATGGGCAGAATTCTTTTTTTTTTAGATTTTATTTACTTGTCAGAGAGAGAGAGACAGCACAAGCAGGGCGAGCGGCAGGCAGAGGGAGAAGCAGTCTCCCCGCTGAGCAGGAAGCCCGATGCACAACTCGATCCCAGGACCCTGGGATCATGACCTGAGCCAAAGGCAGATGCTTAATGACTAAGCCACCCGGGCATCCCAATGTGCAGAATTCTAAGATAGCCTCCGGGATCTCTGCCCCTAGCGTGAAATACAAAGGAGCAGGCTGACCTATATGACAAAAAAGATGGGTATCACTCTGACTAGGCTACCTTATATGGCAAAGGTGAAGAGATTTTGCATATGTAATGAAGGCCCTAAATCCGTTAACCTTAATTAAAAGGGAGATTATCCTGGGGAGGCCTGACTTAATCAGATGGAAGCCCTTTATTATTTATTTATTTATTTATTATGTTTTAATTTTTTAAAGTAAACTCCACACCCAACTTGGAGCTTGAACTCACAACCCCGAGATCAAGAGTCACATGCTCTACCAGGAGCCCCAGATGGAAGCCCTTTAAAAGGGGCCTTAGCCCTTCCCTGAGGCCACACTGATTGTCCTGCTGGTCCCCACCGTGAGTCCTACAGTGGCGAGGAAATGAATTCGGCCAACAGCATGTGCACTGGGCAAAGGACCCCCAAGCCTCCAATGAGACAGAAGCTGGGACTCTGATCACACCCTGGTGAGACCCTAAGCAGAGCACTCAGCTGAGCTGCACCCACATCCCTTACCCACAGAGACTGTGATTAATAAATGTGTATTGTGGGGCGCCTGGGTGGCTCAGTCGGTTAAGCATATGCCTTTGGCTCAGGTCACGATCCTGGGGTTCTGGGATGGAGCCCCACGTTGGGGGGGGTTTCCCTGCTCAGCGGGGAGTCTGCTTCTCCCTCTCCTCCCTGCTCATGCTCTCTGTCGCTATTTCTGCCTCTCTCTCTCTCTCAAATAAATAAATAAATAAAAATAAAAATAAATGTGTATGCAAGCTGCCAAATTTGTGCGATTTGTTACACAGCAATAACTATTACACCTCAACATGTCATTCTTGCTCTACTTAGGAAACATGGTTATGAGACCCACCGTAGGTCTTTTTAATTAGCGTGTTAATGAAGAAGCACATGTATTATTATACCAGTAACTTTTATGTTAATATTGAAATCTTTCTTTTTCTTTTTTAAGATTTTATTTATTTATTTAATTGACAGAGAGAGAGAGACAGCGAGAGAGGGAACACAAGCAGGGGGAGTGGGAGAGGGAGAAGCAGGCTTCCTTCTGAGCAGAGAGCCCGATGCAGGGCTCGATCCCAGGACCCTGGGATCATGACCTGAGCCGAAGGCAGCCACCCAGGCGCCCCATGAAATCTTTATTTCAAAATACAGCCGATTCTTATTATTTGTGGTAGTTTTGTTCTATAAAGTCACTGTGGACACCGACTTAGTGAACACAGAGCTTTTGTTCCTGGAGGAAATACAGGGTCGGCTTCCTGCCAGCCTCGTTACAACTTTTGTCAACCCATCAATACGTAACCTTATTTTATGTGGTTTCTGTTTAAATACACCTTATTGAATATATAGTGATTTGTTCACACTGAACTCACAGCCAACAGCACTAGAACTCATGCCTGAACAAAGCTTATCCTAACAAAGGCACATCCCAGCCTTCTTGCACTTAGGAACACTCTTGGGGTCATTTCAAACAATGAAATCAGGGGCACCTGGGTGGCTCTGTCGGTTCAGCGTCTGACTCCTGGTCTTCGCTTGGGTCATGATCTCAGGGCCTTGGGATCAAGCCCTGCATTGGGGTCTGCACTCAGCAGGGAGTCTGCTTGAGGATTCTTTCCCTCGCCCTCTGCCCCTCCCCCAACTCACATGCTCTCTAAAATAAAAGTACAAATATGCCAAGAAATGTGGCACTAAATAGTTCGAGGAAAGGATGCTTATTTGCAGTATGAGAGCAGAAGCAAGAAGGCAGAGTGTCCTCTTGCTCAATCTTAGCCGAAAAGGTATATGTTGGGTGAGTCAAATCTTGCTGCTCTGAGCATTTGCATGCCTACCAACAACCACAAAAGCCCAGTGAGTGTTAACTTGGGGGCTACAAATAAATTTTAGTGAGTAGGCAAATTCACAAATATGGAATCCATGAATAATGAAGATCAACTGTTAAGTAGCTTCCTTTGTAATCCTGTGCATCTGATTTTATGTGTTTACAGACATAATTTTGTGAAGGGGTCGATAGCCCTAAAAAGTGACTACCCTCTGGTCTAAATATAGATGAGGAGTAACCAGCCAAAAAGGTTCAGAAGGAGCAGTGGGAGGAGAAAAACAAGAAGAGGGTGGTATTCTGGATGCCCCATGCAGGAAGATCATAGCTTTCTTCTGGAACTAGCTAGAAAGACGTCATGATCATCAACATAGGATAAGCTAGAATAAATAAATCATGCAACAGGAAAAAAAATGGGATTAGCTGGAATCGTATCCACAGATATCCTCAAGTATGCTGTATGTTCAAATGACAGGCACTTGAAGGTGCTCCGAATAAGTATTTATAGAATGAATGAATTGGCTCTTTCCTCAATTCATAAACCGGAGAGAGAGAGAGAGATCTCTTAGCCAAATCTCCTACTTAGAACTTTAGTTTTTTTTTTTTTTAAAGATTTTATTTATTTATTTGAGAGAGAGAGAATGAGAGACAGAGAGCATGAGAGGGAGGAGCGTCAGAGGGAGAAGCAGAC